TCATGTTCTTTAATTTAAATTCATATAATTGATGTGCATATATTTTATGATTTTTTTATATTCATAATTCAATTATCCATATTGTATATACATTTTATATTTTCTTATTTTTATTTTTTCCATTTTCCTAAATTCCCATGAATTTTCCAGGATTTTTCAGGATTTTCTAGCCAATGTCAGCCAGACTCAGCAAGTCCACTCAGGATTCCTTGAACTAATTTGCTCTGAGCAGGACCACAGTTCAGAGTGAGTCTAATTCTTTTAACCATGGTATTCAGGTGGTAAACCTAACTACTTAAATTGCACCACTCAAAGGAATGGATGATCTCAATGTGCTATCTATGGTACCACCCGCACAACAAGCAATTTTTATAAGTGCCTAAAATACTATAATAAATAATACAAAACTAGATAACTAAAACTCTCTTCAATATCTTCGTCAATTCGAATAATATTTTTAAAGAGAGTCATCAACAACTGTATGATCTGACTAGAAATTATATCAATAACTTTCTTTTCATTGGGAAAAACTAATGCAATTGATTAAAAGATTTTATAGTAGAAAACCAATTATATAGTCAAAATTGCACTCATTAATATACAATAATCACTAGGTAGTAAGATGCAACTACAAATGAACCAAAGCATCAGTCCAACTATGATAGAGCATTAATCATAGAAATATTGTTTTTTCGGGTAAGTTCAAAAAACATTTTGGGTAAGTATTTCAATATTGTTATATTTCAAACAATTCACCAGAAATGTGGCCCAATTGCATTCACCCAAGTCAATAAGAGGGTTGCCAAAACAAATAAGTTTAAACCTCATTTCTTGACCTGGATGGCAAATCTTGGCAAGATCTTTATCAAGTAGACAGAATTTCCATGGTTGGTGAAAAACTTTGTCAAGATTTTCAGCAACTCAACCAAATATATATATATATATTAACACCAATCCCAAACTTAGTTTCATTTGGCATGATCACAACAATGTTTAAACTCCAAAAAACAAAGCATGGAAATGGACAGAGTAGTGGGTCCAAGTCAGCTCGCCGTGTCTCAGGTCTGACTGGTCCAGACTCGGACCTCAATCACTAGTTTTCTAAAGACCCAAATAGACTCGGTAAGAGTTTATCAAACTTGGGTAGACTCGGATTACTAGACCTGGGGTCATCCCATATTTCCTTTCTTATGGGTTTTATATTAAAAAATATAATAATATATATGTATATAGATATATGCAAAACTTGCCAAATCCACTCGTTTGTGCTCAGAGACAAATATCAAATATCAATTAGGGGCTTGTGATTTTCAAACTACGATTCAACACTTATAACAAACTTTACATACTCCCTGTAAAATGGTTTTCTTCATTAGGAGGAAGAAAATTCCGGTTGCCCACTTCAAGAAATAAAAAATGGTGTTCGTCTGAGACCTTGGGGAATTTGTTTGACCCAAGTTTTACAGATATCAATGCCAACTGAACAACTTTTAGAAAAATGACTTTGAGCTCTTAAAGACCTAAATCTAATATGGGTGGTTGGCATTCACCAAATTTTTCTCTCCTAAAGAAATCAGTTTACTAGGGGTTTTTCAAATTTTATAGACTATGCATCTGTTTAAAAAGAGTGCTTGTAAAAAAACTTGGGGTCAAACAAATTAGAAAAAAAGGCTAAAATGATGATATAGAAAGAGACTATGCAATGCCTATGGGCGAAAATGAACAGTAATTTCACCCATAGGCTCAACGCCGTCTGATTTTTTCAGACAGTGTGGACTAAAAGGCCGTCCGGTCATGGTTGCGGGATTTTTTCAAGCAAAAAAACACGAGATTTCACCACGGACATAGCATGTCCATTGCGATGTCCATTGCAGTTTTTAAGGCAAAATCCCGAGAGCCGTTACGAG